TTAAATAAATAACTAAATAAATAGATATAAATAAATAAATAAATATATGATTTAGTTGGTTACCTCATTAAGATGGCAAGGTAGGTGTATAAAAGAAGCAATCAGGCTTACAGCCAGCCACCTCTTCTTTTGGTTTAGTACATATTTTTGCTCTATTTCGTAAAGTATGGATTCTCGCGCTGATGATGTCTATCACGACGGTAAAGACGAGAGCTTAGCACAGGTTAATTGGAGGGTAGCAGGATGGTGGGCCGCTGACTTCTTCGCACAATCCAACAGTCTTCACTCTACGGCGGTTAATCGTCTTTCGGTTTTCGGTGAGACCACTCACGAATTCCTTCCAACCAACTTTTCCTCTGAAATGAAAATTCATGTCACCATGCCTGAATTAACTCCTTCATCTAATATCGCATATTTTGCAATTTGGCCGCCCGATTGTTTTAGAGCTACTTACTTTCCGTGACGTGTTTAGCCTTCCATCGTATCGGGGCAGTGTTGAGCGGCGAATCTGGAAATTGTCATGGATACTATGGACTCTGGAAAAGATGCGTTTCTTTAAGTCTCTCTAACAATACAGCCGAGCTTTAAAAATTATTTAGAACTAGTTCTATTAAGTATTAAATGTGTAATTTGAACTTTAATTGTGTAGTGTGAACTGTAAACTGTAAAATGTAAAGTATGAACTCATAACAGTGAATTGCGAAATGTCGCATGTAAAATGTGGAATATAAAACATGAAATATCAAGAGTTAAATGTTAAATAGTAAATTTGAACTGTAAAAATGGACTATGATCTGTGGAATTTAAAGTGATATTTGGAAATGTAAAATGTAAAATTTAATTTAAAAATGTGCACTAAAAAATGTGCAATGAGAAATACGAATTGCGAATTGTGAAATGTGAAATCTAACCCCAACAGTCTTTTCTACGTGGCATTACTTCTTCGGTTTCCGGTGAGACGACATCACGAATTCCTTCCAACCAATTTTTGCTTCAATATGAAAAGTAATGTCACATTAGCTCGTTTTTCTTCACACCTCTGTTTATATGATGGTTGGCATGCCAACATTTGGGCAAATAATGATGAGCTATTTACTTTGTGACTTTGTCCGGTTGCTTGAAGGGGCGGCTGGGGTGGTAACAGAAGCCTTGCTCGGAGAGGCCGAGAAAGAAGCGAAGCAGACATTCTCGTCGCGCCTGTTCGTCGACTGCTGCTCCAACTGCCTGGAGCTGGCCGACGCGAGCACGCAGACAAGCCCGAGGCCGAGTCCGTCCGCGCAGGCGCCGGCCGGCCGGCCCGGCTACGGGCATGTGATCTTCGTGGACATGTCGCCGAGGGGGAGGAGGGAGCAGGAGGGGAAGGGGGAGGGGGAGGAGGAGGAGAAGGAGGAGGAGGAGAAGAAGAAAAGTCTGCAGATCGGATGCACGACACACACGACGAGGGCCTACTCGATCGCCTTCCCGGCCGTCGGACTCCCAGAACGTCCAAGTCCGCCTGCAGAGCCCGTGGGGTTCGAGCCGGTGAGGGTGGTGATGGTGCGCGACCAGACCTCGTGGACGGGCGATGATACGACTCCGGCTCGAGTCCCGTCGAGCGCAAGTTCGCCAGACGAGACGGCTCCAGATCGAGTCTCGTCGAGCCGGAGTCAAGCAGTTGATGCGACACAGGCTCGAGTCCCGCAGAGTGAGGTGTTGGCAGACGAGACGGTCAAGGCTCGAGATCCGTCGAGCTGGAGATCGGCAGATGACACAGCTCGAGGTCGAGTCTCATTGGGCGGGAGTCAAGCAGTTGATGCGACACAGGCTCGAGTCCCGCAGAGTGAGATGTTGGTAGACGAGACGACCAAGACTCGAGATCCGTCGAGCTATAGATCGGCAGATGACTCAGCTCGAGGTCGAGTCTCATTGGGCGGGAGTCAAGCAGTTGATGCGACACAGGCTCGAGTCCCGCAGAGTAGGGTGTTGGCAGACGAGACGACCAAGGCTCGAGTCCAAGCGACTGGGAATTTGTCAGATAAGACGGCTTCTGATGGAATCCCGTTCGGTGGAGGATCGGTAGCTGAGACGCCCCGGGATCGAGTCCCGTATGAAGCAAGCTTGGCCGACGATACTCCACAGACTCGAGTCCCACCAGACGAAAGATCGGCAGTCATGACGATCCGGCGGCGCGAGAGTTCGGCAGACGAGGCGGCCGAACTGGCGGTGGAGGAGCATCGCCAGAACGGCTGTGGCGCGATCGAGGTGCAGATCGCGCCGCCGGACGCGGACGACGACGACGACGGCGACGGCGAGACGACCGGCTGGCTGGTGGGTCGGCTGGACGGCTTCCAGGCCTACCAGAACAGCAGCGGCGGCGAGGGCAACGCGACGTTGGACGTGGATCAGGCGGAGGCGAGTGGGCGTCGGGGCGGCCGGCCGAGCGGGGACTCGAACCTGTTGAGACCGTTGGAGGCGTCGAGCTCGGACGAACCGACGGACTCGCGCTCGAGGCCGGCGCAGGAGGAGGAGGAGATTGGCCAACTCCTCCAACCGACGCTGCATCACGCGCCGCCACCGGCGACTTCCGCCGACGACGAGTCCGGCTCGACGGAAACAGGTGGGACGAGTCGACTGGACGCGGAGGCCTCATTTCGCTTGTTTTCGGCACAAAGTTATTCCACATTTGGAATAACACTTCTGGAAGATAGATTTTGGTTCCTTTTCAGTTCCACTATATTCACTGTTGAGCTTACTTCAAC